CTTACCACCTGCGTCAGCCCAAGGGGGTGTGCAGATGGCCGTGCGATATGTGAATGCCCGGCAATGTCCTGCGCAGAGGTGCGGAGTTTTGAACCCACAACCTCAGATCACAAATGCGCATTTCCAACCGGTGCCCTAACCACTGAGCCAAGGGCCACCGGGGAGCACTACTATACGAGCATCCCCGGCTAGAAGGAGTCTCTGGCTGCTCCATCTATTGGCGGGGAGCTGCACCTGCCAAAAAATGGGCCCATCGTCATCTCCACTGCAGAGTTAAAACCAAATGACAAGTTATGCCCACCAGCATTGATTGCCCCAGGAAGTTCGGGGGATTGACTGCATGGGTGTGGATGTGTGCTCTAAAGCATAGCCACTTGGTGAGCTAGACCTGCCTGTTCATCCCCCACGGGGCCGCCTGATGCTATCTATACCCTCAAGCAGCAGTCTAGCTACCTTTTCCATCGAGCAGCATTGGAGTGCGTATGAGATTCCGAGACGGGCTGATTTGGCAAGTGAGGACGATGTTCTCTACCTGCCACGACTACCTCTTCGCACTTAGCAGGGTGCCAGATGACGACTATCTATTCCTAGTCATTGTGTCTTCTGCTCTACACCAGTTGATTGTCTGCTTCATTGTGTCTTCTGCTCTACGCCAGTGATTGTTCTGCTTAGCTGTTGCTTCCTGCCCTAAACCCTGTCCTACCCACCTTTACAACCCTGAACCCTAGGCTTCCACTGTATTCCTTTCCCTCCCTTTTGGAACTTTTTCCTTCTGCCATTGCACTGCCTGTGCATCCTTGCCTGTTTCTGCCCCCTATATCCCTTCTATAGTTCCATTGCATACCATCCCAGTCCAACCAAGCAATTTGACAGGCCAGGGTGGAGAGGGAGGGGGAGGGGAGGGGTCCGGCAAGTTCTCGCATGGTCTCATTTCGACGGATCCGTCCAGCTTAGTCCACTTAGTGAAAGACAAGCCTGTAGTCCCTTTCCCTTGTTACTTCTCTCCCCCGGGGCCATGTACTGGCGGTATAAAATTGGAATGACACAGAGAAGATTAGCATGTCCCCTCTGAAAAGGAGAGTACAAAAAGAAGAGGGGAAAAAACACTGGTGGGGATCCTTCCACTGGTTGCAACATGCTTCAGTGCAAAACACAGAATGAGAGGTAACACCTGACATTTCCTTTTCTCTCCTAGACCCAAGGAGGCCAGAAAGAAGCAGTTGGAGCCCAGTGCAAGGGCCATGCTGATCTTCTCTTGATCGTTCACCTGCCACCCGCAGGCTGCTCAAAGCAAAACCCTCGGGCTTAAAGCGTACGAGGACCTGGACCTTGCCCCACCATCAGGTGAGAGCGAGAGACCCCGGCATGAAGTCCATGCCTCAGGACGACGGGGGCAAGCGGACAGCAGATTGGTGGAAGCAAGGATTACTGTGACTTACTTCAACCAAGACGACACATATTTTGTAGTTGCAGGTGCTCTCTCTCTCTCTCTCTCTCTCTCTCTCTATATATATATATATATATATATATATATATATATTTGACGATATATATATATGTGCCATACTGTTTAATTGGTCTTTCAACGACTCGTCCGGAAGCTGAACCCTGGCAGCCTGCCCAGGATGCATTTGATTGATGGATAAGGACTCACCACGTCACCCACAGTTAGCCATGTGATTGATGGGTAAGGACTTTGTTGGCCCCCACCGCTACCCCCGTCAAGTCCAGTAGGTTGAATTTTTCATTTTGCACAAATTCGCAGTGCATGTACCCCTCTGTTCGGAGGGGGGGGAGGGGTGATACTGGTTGTTTCAAATTCGTCTTCTCTTTCTCTTCCCCGATACTCTCTCTCTCTTTCTCCTGCAGAGGTAAGGTGTGTTGTCAATCGAGGTGCCTTAGTTGGCCTAGGGGAAAACGCTTGCTTGCTCTGTTGATTATGTACTTGCCACAAGGAGGAGGAGATTTTGCCCTCTGAGTGTGGAAGGAGATTCAGCATGGATGTTGTCGCAAGTGTTCCACCAACTTCACACCACATGGGAGTGGGGTGTCTTTTAGGCACACAATGGAGAGACCACACTTGAGTTCGCCACTCTCACATAAGCTCGCATCTACACAATATACTCCTCGGCAGGTAGCGTCCACTTCGTTCTACTGTTCACTTCTCCCACTTCCTAAGGTGTGAAATGAAGCTCCATGCAGCTGTCGTTATGTCACGTGTCAAGTCCGGCATTCTTGTGTTTTTTTTTTTTTTTTTTTTTTTTTTTTTTTTTTTTTTACCTGCACTGGATTTTAGACATGACTCTTCTTTGAAAAACAGAAATACGAAAAAAGAGAAGAAGAAGAAGAAGAAGACGTAGCTTGTCTCATCTGGGCAATGTCCAGGTTTGCAAGTGGTGCAAAAGGAGGGGGAGGGGGAGAAACAACAGCAGCCAAGTGAGGTTTAAGAGTTCAAAAAGGCAAAAAACAACACTAGGTCATGGCACAAGTTTGAAATGTGTATTTCACTGAAAAACAGGTTTATTATTATTCTTATTATTATTATTATTATTATTTTGTTCTCTCGTCTTTTTCTAAACCCAGGCCCTGCGCAGACCATGGCCCGCCCCTGTAGTTATGACATCTGCTCTCATTACATAATGTTGTGCCGCTTTCATTGCCTTTCCAAACTCGGCGCATGCTTGTTTTTTCTTGCCCATCCGGAACTCATTTTCGACTGAACAGCATGTGCCACTGCCGCCCTCCCCCCCAAAAAAAATAAAATAATAAATTACGCTGATGTATTGCCCCTGACACTCCAACGACTGCTGAGCGTCCTACACTGTGAATGAGACAATCAGGAAATACTTGCAGTAGAGTTTTCTCTCGTCCTACTTCTGGATGTGATTGCAATCGGATACATTCAGGTCAGCCTCTAATTGCAGAAGGATAAAATTATTATTTAAATTAATTAATATGCTCAGAGTAAACTCAGTAAAGGCTTCAATTGACTGCGGCAGAGCCGCAATCCCTAGCAGTCCTCTGGTTACCCTCTTCCCCCGAATAGAGCCAAGCTAACAAACATACCATGTAAGGATGGCATGATGTACTGTGCATCTCCTCGCTCAAGTTCCCATCCCCAAGTGGCTCCACCTTCATGCTGACGACTCGCATCCGCCCAAGTGGGTCTACCTTAGCGCTGACGGATGGGAGGACCTCCACTTCGTATCCGCCTACCAGTCCATCTGCGTCAGGGTTGTCGAGCCCCGGCCCCGGGGCCCCGGCAGGGGTCCCGGGGGCCGGGGGTCCGCACCCCGGCCCCGGCCAATAAAAAAAAAAAAAAAAAAAAGTTTTAACTATTCTGGTCTTGGTTTGGTCGATCGGTCCCCGTCTCCAGGATCAGGTCGAAGTCTTCCTGGAGGCGGACAAAGTCAATCTACTCCTCGATTTGCGAGGTCCGTCTCCTGGACGACACTACCACACCAAGCCATTCTACTGGAAGCCGCTACCACGCCCAGCTCTCACCTCTGCAGTCTCTCTCAAAATCTATACAGCCTTAGTCCTGCTGGATGTCGTTGGATTAAGCCCCGTCCGGGCCAGGTCTACGCTGTGTTGCAGGATGTCGTTGGATTAAGCCGTCAAGGTCAACCAGCAGTTCTGTGGTCGAACGGTTCTGACCAATTGCTGGTATCCACAGGGCCCAACCACCGCCTTTTCTGTGTTCTGCTTTTTTTTTTTTTTTTTTTTTTTCATGTTTGGGCCGTCCTTGAGGTTTGACTTTTAGGTAGGTTAGGCCTCCAGGGCCTGAAGGATGGATGTCCGGCCATGGCTGGGTCGATCCGTTACTCAGTCTGATTATTCCTCAGATATATCAACTCATAGGAGCAGTACGTCGGACTCTGGCGTTTGCCTCCTTCGTGTCGAACACCCCTTGCCTGCGGGAATGAGTTTTTGATCTTGTCACGAATAACCGTTGCAACATTTTGCCCATCTTTCGTTTTTCACATGGAAGGAAACGTCTGTAGTAACTTGCCATTCACTGTGCTACTCAACAACCCACAGGCAGCGACCAGCAGATGAATGCCCTACAGGGTACGATTCACCAGCTTTCCGGCTTTGTAGTGTCGTCTACCATATCGGGTGCTTCGCCATCAGCAATTGGCTGTATTCAATACAGTGTATTGAGTTTACTCAGAGTCTGATAGACTGTATTGAGTTCCTTGTCAAACTCTCTCTCTCTCTCTCTCTCTCTCTCTCTCTCTCTCTCTCTCTCTCCCTCCCACCTCCCTCCCATCATCTCCCTCCCTCCCACCTCCCTCCCATCTGCCTCCCACCTCCCTCTCACCTCCCTTCCACCACGGACGGAATGATCTGTTGAAATACAGTCCTCAGTTTCTCGTGCCATGCGACTTGAACTTAAAATTTAAGTCTGAATGTGGAAGAGGAAAACATACCTGATTGTTCATAACTAGGTCATGAGATCCAACTGGCGGCTAGACGTGTGATCTTACTGTTTCACCTGTTCTCCATTCTCCTATGCGCTCTTCTCTTCCATATGCGCTCTTTGCTGCCCCCGGTACTGTTTTATTTAGTATATTCTTTTTGTCAAAATTTGTGAACTCAGTCCGACTTTTTATCACTTTTTTTTTGTTTGTTTTTTAATCATCCATCCCCTTCGCTGGGCTGCAGCTTTGCTGCAGCGGGTTCACTTCTTTTTTTCAAGCGCGAGGTTGGTGAGAGCAGTTTCGAGTCCATTTTTCTCGCTGATGCCAGAATGCGATGGCTCCTTCCTTTAGACAAAAAAAGGATTTCGACTCTGAATCCTAAAAGGGTCCAGGCGCTAAAAGATGGTTGATGATTTCCACACTAATGGTTAATGGGTGGGGTGCCATTTTCGGCGAATTTGAAAGCTACTCCAAATAGGGTTTTACAAATAGGGTTTTACAATGCTTTAAAGGGTTTTTCTTTGTTTTTGTTTTTTTGAAATTTTTTGGCCTCTTTTTTTTTTTCATGTTTGTAGTATCAGCTTGCATTGTTTGTTCGTGAAATGTTCGACGACATTGCTTGTGGTGATGTGGCGAAAAACCCCAAATTCTGGGCCTTCCATTAACCATCTCTCAATTTCCAAGCATGACTGTATCACCCGTGGGGCCTGTCCCACTGTCCCGCCACATCGTCACTCCTTGGCCACAATCGCTCCCAGTCACCCACGTCAAGCATGTTAATCGGGGAACGAAGCTCTGTATTCCCTTGTTCTCCGTATTGTGATGTGATGATGCCTGCTGATCTAAAAATAGTTGAAACTTTAAAATACTCTCACAATTTGGATAAGCAGCAGCACTGGAGCGTGAAAAAAGGTATCGCTGCACTACTCTCTGCTTGGACAAAAGAACAAAAAAAATGGCGACGTATCTTTCCATGTCCGGGATGATGTTCCAGCGGAGGATTCGGTCTCATTTTGCACATTTGGAGAGAATAGTGGAGCGAGATAGAAGAGTGAACAAAAACAGAAGGGGAAAAAAAACAAGAAAAAAAAGAAAGATTTTGACGAGGTATCGAAACTCCATTGCCACAAGTAAGAGGAGGGTAAATACGGAAAAAAACACAGGCAGCATGGTGGATTGACGGAACGATTTGTATCAAAATAAAAAGAAACGGAGAACAGTTCGAGAAAATAAAGATCATCTGCATTTCATCCAATTCTACTTCGTCTACTACACTCTCAAGCAGCAACAGGAAATGCTAAACACTTTTCACAGAAAGAAATAAACAGCATCATGCAGAGAAAAGAATCGGGAGACGTTCGCACTTGGTTCCATGCACAATCAAAACTGCATTCTGAAAATAACTCCCTTCCCTGACCATCAGGTAATGGTTTCTCCTTGCACTCACCTGTCAATTGCCCTTCTTCTACCAACCTCCTCTCTTTGCAAAGATGCTTGTGCTCTCTCTCTCTCTCTCTCGCTCTCGCTCTCTCTCTCTTTCTCTCTCTCTCTCGTGCGCGCGCACTCTCTTGCTCGTAAAATCAGCAGATGGATCTCTGCACCTTACGCTTGTGAAATGGACGTATCTGTCTCTGCCTCAGAGTTGAATGCAAGTTCCGCTGCTCTGCTCTCTCATTGCACGTGCAACAGATCAGCTGGTTTTACGCTCGAATACCGCCGGCCACCACATCTCTCTCGTTCTCTTAACACTGTATCCAGTCCTTCTGATTGAAAACCTGAGCAGTCTCCGCTACGGGGCAGCCAATTGAACTCGAGCCATTCAAGACTTATTACAGCAAGCCCTCCAAGAAGCGCAGGGGTGCTGTCGCGCAAAGCAGAGCAAAAACTATCCCGCACAGCAAGGAAGTGACGATGCACACGCTAAGTCCCTTGCACATGTAAATCGGCAAACAGTCGTCGATATCAAATACACCCTAGAAAGCTACTCTCTCTCTCTGTCCTATCAGCTCAGGTGATCCTCTACATAGTCGGGGTTCCTCTTCAACACCACAAAACCTTCGAGGACGGAGGACATGGGCAAGTACCTGCATCATATGCAAAAGAACGACACAAAGCCGTTCAAAAACAAAACGAAAGAGCGAGGAACAAGGACACAGAAAAGGACATCAGACTCGGGAACGACAGTACACGGGACGGCTCAAAGAAAACAAAACAACATTTGCCATTTGAATCAATTGCAGGGAAAATTGCATCTGTGCCCCATTTAAAGATGGGAATACCCGCTCTACCCAGGCCCGGAGGAGGGCTAAGGTTGGTACTGACAAATTGCAGTTATACCCAACCACCGCAATGCTAATTATGTGCATACCCAGGGGCAAAGTATGCGCATAGTACCGCACAGTGCATACCCAATTTCGCCTGCCCGGTTCCTGGGCATGAACATCATTTTGTGCTCCCTAACCAAGGGCCTGTCGGACTGGGTACACGTATAAGTAGGGTATTACCTTAAGTTGGACAGGGTCTGGGTATAGATGCAAGTTGGGTGCCCGACTGGGTATAGTGACTATTCCCCTCTTTACGTGGGGTACAGATGCAACTTTTCCCTAAATTGTACTAAGACGAGTCCTTCGGGACGTTCAATAAATTTGGAACAACATATTATTTGTTGTACTGAAAGCAGAGAGAAATGACGAGTCCACACATTCATACGGCTCCTATGCTCCTATCACCGCTACATGGAGAAGGTAATAGAGCACATGAGGAAGGAGGGGAACAAACGGGGTGGACAGAACAGAGAGGAAAAGAGGGTGTACATTATATGCACATGACGGCAGGGATTCTGACAGACTAGGGCACGCCCTGCAGACATTCAAAAATCGCCAAGCTAGGATGCGTTCCGAGGGCAGGAAGACCATGGGTGTGTGTGTGTGTGTGTGTGAGAGAGAGAGAGAGAGGGAGGGAGGGAGGGACCCAACAGAGAGGAAAAGAGGGTGTACATCATATGCATATGAAGGCAGGGATTCTGACAGACTTGGGCACGCCCTGCACACATTTGAACAGCACAAAGTTAGGATGTGTCGGCAGAAAGACCTTGTGTGTGTGTGTGTTTGTGTGTGTGTGTGTGTGTGTGAGAGAGAGAGAGAGAGAGAGAGAGAGAGAGAGAGAGAGAGAGAGAGAGAGAGAGCACCATGCTTGGAGGTTAAGGAGGTTCTGAGTAGGGCAATGTCTCAAACTTTTCCGAATAACCAAGGAAAGGAACAAGGGATTACGAATCTGTTGTCTTTCAAGAAAACACTCTCGTATTCTGTGTTTTTTCTTCTCCTCCTTTTTTAAAAGGACTACGGCCTTGGCCAGCCGGCCTAGCTCCGTTGGTAGAGCACGTAAGTGGCATTCAGGATGTCATCGGTTTTTTATTTCCCGTGGCATCCATTGGACTCCCCGTGGCCCTCTGCAGCACACTTCAGGCTCCACCAGCGGAGATAGATGGCTTGCCCCCCCTGGCTGGTGGTGGTAGGTTGCCCGAGGCCTTCCATCCCGCGCCAGGGGCTAGGGACGGGGGTGCTGCTCCCCATACAGCGCAGAGTGGAGGATCAAACCCAAGAAAAAAATAGAAGGGGGGCTGACCCATCTTAGGCAAAAGAAGCAAAACTGGACTAGAGGTAGGTAGATAGGTACGCAGTGGGAGATATAATGAGAGACAAACATAGGGTAGTTTTATAAGATTAATAAAAATAACTTTAAATAAGATTAATAAAAAGGGTGACGGCAGTAAGATATCATGACTGGACTGATCATGATTGGACCAAAAGAAAAAAGAAAAAAAGATATCATGATTGGACTGACCGGCCCCCGGTAATTCCGAATGCTTTTATTCTGTTCATCTGATACTACTGATAGCATTTGCATTTGAATTTTGAACGTGGGTCTGTATTTCAACACCTCATAGGTGTACCAAGTGAAGCTAGTCGTGCCGTTGATCAAGGAAAAACTTTTTTTTTTTCAAAATTCAAAATAATTCTGGGTTAGGCCGACGCCCGGCCCAGACGGACGGGGGGGGGAGGGGTCCGTCCGGCTTTTGCACGTGAATCAGGACTATCTGATCTGACACGTGTGCAGGGATCGGAAAAAAAAAATAAAACTAAGTTTTTTCTGTTGATTAGGACATGCTAGTTAGACCCCAAAATCACGATCTTGACCTTACTACAAAAAAAATCGATTTTTTTTTTCTTTTCTCGGATTTTATTTTCTCGCTATTCTGCTGTGGAAAATCGCTATATCGCAACATCTGAAATTCCTATTTTCGTTTTTCTTTCTGAAAATTCGAAATTTCGTTGTTAAAAAAATCCGAAATATATTTCTTTTTGAAATTTTCGATTTTCTGTTGCATTTCCCGTACTTAGAACTTCGGAATATCTTCTTTTCTGAAATTCGTTTTTCTGAAAACGGTACGGGAAATACCTCCTGCACGTATTATTTTTTTCTTCAAACTGCGAATATTCCCATCGGAATAAATCCGAATATTTGTCATTTCTGTCCGGACTTTTTTCGCAGTTCTTGGATTCTGTCAGTTGGTTCTATAAATCAGTTGGCAGTCCAAAGTCAAAAATGTTTTTCGCTTTCAGAGATCATTTCGTACTTCAAGGGAGATTGGGAGACCTACCGAACTTACCAAAATATGGATTTTTTATTTTTTTCGTATGATAAAATAGCTTTTTATCCCTATTTTTACGGTGCGCCGTCTCACAACCAATTTCGATGGGCTTTCAATTCAATCACGAATTTTTTTTGCAAAGTTCAAACTTTTCTATTTTGATTAGTGGCTCCTTATCTAAGTGTGAGTTGGGCGATTATCCAACCCACCCCTCCCCACCTATGTTGTTGCCATCTCTCGCCTTGCCGTTTCCGGTTGTCTCCGGGTACCCCTTGTGACGGCATTGGTAAGTTGCCACGTCAGCAGGCTACGTCAGCAGACCACGTCAGCAGGGCACGTCAGCAGGCTACGTAAGTACGTCAGCAGACCATGTCAGCAGGACACGTCAGCATTGCCACGTCAGCAGCAAGGGATACCACATCAGCAGGCACCGGTCTGGTCTATGCTGTTGCCTTCACAGACAGCAGTCATGGACCAGAAGGCCGGGAAAACAGACGAGGCCTATCAGGCCCGCATGTTAGCCTGGAGTACCGAGAAAAAGAAGCGGGCAGATGACGCTGCTGCAGCAGCCAAGAAAAGGGCAGAGGATGCCGAGCAGGCACGTCTGCTGGCCGTGCAACAACAGCGCCAGCACGACGAGGCAGCAGCAAGGGCTGCCGATGAAGAAAGGACACAGCGTCGTGAGAAGATATTCACCGGAGATCGGGCGTTACTTACCATGGCAGCAGAATGGTGAAGCGAGGCCGAGAACAGCCAGTTGGAGGACAGCGCAAACAAGATAGCGCTCCTCCTCTCGCATCTCACGGATCTCCTGGCAACCTGCATTACACAGCAGGGGGAGATCCTTGGTCTCGACAACTCGGTAGCTCAGCTCCAGGACCGCCTTCAGCGGGTGGAGCAGCGACCAGTCGCCGCTGCCGACGCAGGCTCTTCCAACACTGCCGACCGCCTCACCGCATTGGAGATGCACGTCGGCTCCCTCCAGGACGGCGCACAGTTACAGCAGACCGCGACGCAACAATTGCAGCAGCGGATCTGCACTACCGCCACTACCTCCAGTCCAGAGCCGCGCGAGACAGCTCCTAAGTTCGATGGGCAGGAGATCTTCCACGACTCAATCAAGACAGATCCAATTCCATGGTTTCGCAAGTTCGAGCTCACGCWKCAGCTCCACAATGTCAAGGAACACAAGCACCACACCTACTTGTACTCTCGCTCAGGGGGCGCGTGTCAGGCTTGGTTGGACAACCTGTTGTCCAAGTACGATGTGGTGGCCACCGACTTGCACACCAAGATCACCTGGGATGATCTGAAGGCGGCGTGGCACAAGCGGTTCCAGGTGGAGCCGCCAGAGATCAAAGCCATGGACAAGCTCATGGTCTTCGAGCAAGGCACGCTGCTGAGTACGGACTGGATCGTTGAGTACCAACACTTGACGTCAGTCCCAGACATCCAGATGGGCTTCAAAGCCATCCACCACTACTACATCTCAAGGTCATGTCCGGCATTGAGCAATGCCCTGACGCATGTCGAGGACCCCTTGACGACGACGGCGGAGTTATTTGACAAGGCTGCGCAGATCATCGTCACGAACAAGGAGGCCAAGAACCTCCGTTCATCTGCATCAGGCCCGAGCAGGGACCAGCATCGGCCAAGAGGGGCCGTGGTCGCAGCGGCAGCGCCGTTAGACCAAACCAGCGAGGCTGCGTCTTCCAATGAAGGAGACAGATTCGCAGCCGCCCGGGAAGGTGGCCGCGCTGGCAGAGGCCGAGGGCGCGACAAGCCGAAGACACACACCGTTTCTAGCCCCGGGCCCGGTGCAGCAGCTCAGACAGGCCCATGGACCCTCTATGGCATCTCCGAGTCCACATACAAGGCGCGCGAGAGATTCCACTATTGCCTTTGGTGCAACAGCGATCTTCATCAGACGCAGGTTTGCCCATTGAAAGGCAAGGGCAGACAGGGAAACTGAGCACCGCCGAGAGTGACACGACGACACTCTCGACGCCTTCGGAACTGGTTTCTTCGCGAGTGACCAGCCTTCATTCCGAGGCGCACGCGGAAGTCGACAGTCCTCCGCTTCTATTTTCTTTTGAGGGCTATGCTGCCCGGCTCGTTCCAACGCTAGGTACTCAAGCTCAAGGACAAGGAGTGTGTGCGGTTTCTTCTCCGTCCGGCAACAGCGACATATCGTCTTCAAGTGGTTCGTTACGGGATTCGGCGTGCGAGTTCAAGATAGAGGTTTTGGACCCGCTCACGTTTGAGGACTTTGCATGGCTTCCTCTCCCGACCACAGGCTGTTTGCCGGGACCGCAATGCGCAGCACTTAGCGCTCATCTCCACACTTACCTTTCCTTCTATGCACCACCAACTTCGCCGACGGATGACGAAATCGCGGTGGGGGACATCCTGGCGTACGTTACCAAAGTGGCC